ATCGGACGGTAGTTGGACAAAGAATTGGGGTTACAGTTGCATGTTTGAAGTGCGATGGAAATATGCCAGAGGAGAGAGAGAAATTGAGAATTTTAGTGAGAGATAGAGAAAGAGAAGAAGACAGAGAGTATGGATGAGATGCGAGGGAATTAGATCTAGGGAGCAGGTGGTTGGGTGGGAGGACTGGAGCAGAGCAGAAACGTCTTCCACTGTAGCGGATGCAAATGAACATAGAACAGCAGAGGGAGTGAGGCTAGGGGAAGAATTGTAAGGGGAAGAAGAAAGATGAGAGATCTCGTCCCTGATTGTAGAGATCTTGTCAGTGAAGTGAGTTGCAAAGTCTGAGGCGGTCAAGTTAGCAGGTGGAGGAGAAACAATAGTGCGAAGTTATATGTGTGAAATAGTTGTTTGGGTTCGCGGGAGAGTGTGGTTATGAGGGTATTGAAGTAATTTACTTTTCCAGAGGAAAGAGCCAAGTTGTATGAGCGCAGCATAAATTTATAGTGGAGAAAGTCAGATGCACAGTGGGACATTCTCTAACAGCGCTCAGCAGTTCTGGCACTACACACATTCTGGCACTACACACAAATAGACATGCAATTGCATTCGTACAAAATCCTGTGTTATGCATATTTTAGAACTATATGCAAAAACAATTCGCACGTGCACTAGACACATATAAGTAGCTCTGATGAGAATACATACACTTTGAGGAGAACTGAGGAGAATTTTGAATACATTTTATATTGTAAGCCTATATACAAGAAATAGAAAAATGTCTGTAACTTGCTTTTTGGCAACTCAGCTATGTAAGTCAAAAATCATCAGTTACTTGCCAATTATTCTAATATATTGTAACACAATAGTAAGGTTTATTATCTAAAAAGTTACTGGAAGTAAAATGAAAAATGAACCACACATTTTGAGCTAATATGGCTGAACTGTGACTACAGCAGAATTGGCAAATTATTTAAACTAAATCTTAAAATTTGATCTCCTCCATACTGAGGTTTTTGGGATGTTTGGCACAGTGGCACTATAGTGCAGGTGTCCATTCACAGAATAATACTCTTGACTTACCACAGCTGTCATGTATGATAATTAGAAACTTCTTGTAGCAGCCTAAAGATTATAAATAACATAATTTCATGACACCCTTAAAAAAAGATTTAGTCCGGCAATCTGGAGATGAATATTGATAATAGCCATTGTTGTTAATTTTATGTTTGATTGGAAGATGATGGTATGCTTACGGAAAAAGCAGAATGACGGACAGCTAATATAACACTTGCTGATGAACACAAATCACAAGTTTTTCCTCTGTAGAATCTTTAATTTGTATTTAAAGGAACACTATAGGGTCAGGAACACAAACATCTATTCCAGACCCAATAGTGTTTAACCCACTTGCGCCCCTTTAGCCCCATATAAAAGTTTAAAACTCACCTTATTTCCAGTGCTGCGTGGGTTAGCCGGTGCTGGCTCTGCCCCCTTTGTGATATCGTCAAAATGGCCGATTTTTAGCCAATCCAAAGCTTTCCCGTAGGCACGGGTTATGAAAGGTTATTAAGGGATAATTCAAGAATTCCTTGAGAAGAACATGGTTATCAGCAAAAATCAGCACGGTTTTATGAAGCACAGGTCATGTCAAACTAACTTGATTGCATTCTACGAAGAAGTAAGTAGAAGTATAGATCAGGGTTTTGCCGTGGATGTGATCTATTTGGATTTTGCCAAGGCATTTGATACAGTTCCACACAATAGATTAGTGTTCAAACTCAAGGAAATCGGTCTAGATGAAAATGTTTGTTCTTGGGTAGAACATTGGCTTAAAAACAGAGTACAAAGAGTTGTCATGGTAAATTTTCAAACTGGACAGAGGTGGCAAGTGGTGTCCCTCAGGGGTCTGTTCTGGGACCCCTTCTATTTAACATGTTTATAAATGATATTGAAGACAGCATTGAAAGTCATGTTTCAGTGTTTGCAGATGACCAAAAACTTTGTAAAATAATACAATGTGAGTGAGATATTACTTTGCTGCAGGGGGATTTAGATAGACTGGGGGACTGGGCACTCAAATGGCAGATGAAATTTAATGTTGAAAAATGCAAAGTTATGCACTTCGGCGTAAAGAATACACAAGCAACGTATACTCTTAATGGAAGCGAATTAGGGATAACAACACACGAAAAGGACTTGGGAATTGTTACAGACAACAAACTATGCAATGTCAATCAGCAGTGGCCAAGGCCAGTAAGGTATTGTCATGCATGAAAAAGGGCATTCATTCTCTGGACGAGAATATAATTTTGCCTCTTTATAAATCACTGGTAAGACCCCATATTGAATATGCTGTGCAATTTTGGGCACCTGTTCTAAAGAAGGATATTATGGCACTAAAAAAAGTGCAGAGGCAGGCTACAAAATTAATAAAAGGAATGGAACATATCGGCTATGAAGAAAGGTTAACAAATGTAAACCTATTTAGTTTAGAAAAGCGTCGCCTGAGAGGGGATATGATAACATTATACAAATATATATTGGGGCCAATACAAACCATTGTGTGGAAATCTATTCACAAACCGGACTTTACATAGGACACGAGGCCATGCGTTTAGACTGGAAGAAAGAAGATTTCGTCTAAGGCAAAGGAAAGGTTTTTTTACTGTAAGAACAATCAGGATGTGGAATTCTCTGCCTGAAGAAGTGGTTTTATCAGAGTCCATACAGATGTTCAAACGGCTACTAGATGCATACCTGCAAGAACAGAATATTCAAGGATATAATCTTTCAATGTAGGGTAATAACTGCTTGATCCAAGGATAAATCTGACTGTCATTCTGGGGTCAAGAAGGAATTTTTTTCCTAGCTTGTTGCAAAATTGTGCTTCCAACTAGTTTTTTTTTTTGCCTTCTTTTGGATCAACAGCAAAAAAAGAATGTGAGGAAGGCTGAACTTGATGGACGCAAGTCTCTTTTCAGCTATGTAACTATGTAACTGGGGCGAGGCCAAATGCCATTTTGGCCAATCAGGACCTCCTCATAGAGATGCATTGAATCAATGAATCTCTATTAGGAAAATTCCATGTCTCCATGCAGAGCATGGGGACGCTGAACGTCAGAGCTGCTTTTTTGGCAG